CGTCACGTCATGAGCAAGGACACGATCACCCGTTTGTGGACAAACAAAATGTTCCTATGGCATGTCGGTTCGTCGCAGGAATCACAGCTGCAAATTCCCTGCCAGATCATACATTTCCGTGCGAATTCATCCACAAAAACAAATTTGAATCTGCCAGGGACACCTCGTCGAGCCTTCGCCTTCTAAAATTTTGGTCTTGGAAGCTGTCCGAAGTTGGCATCGGCCATCACATAGGTTTCATCATCCACAAGTATGCACCCACCGGATTTGGTCAGCAGGTTGTCTTACAGCTTTTGAGCACGGGTTTAAGCTACGGTATTCTACTTGAGTGATCTGTAAGTCTTCACGGTAGCGAATTCGCTGATCTGTACTATGGGTGGTATTATACTTTTTACTCAAATCGCGATTGAACATACCTGGGTTGCTTCTGATAGACCTCACGACCTTTCCATGGAGCTGACGGTTGGCAGTTCCACTCCGGCGTTTACTTTGAGGCTTCCGATTCGTCGTCAAGGTTTCCCTGTACGTTTTGAGAACGCGTCATATGGTTTTTCTAGGAAAATTCAACACTTTAGCCAACTTGGACGCAGACCACGATGGATTTTCCAGGTGACTGCGCACGATTTTTTTTTTCTACGCTCCTCTTGCGTGGTGACTGTCTCCAAAACAAGAGCGTTTTATAAACTGAAAAAATACAATGTTGTTGTCAACAAGTAGACGTCAAAAGCATCAGAAAACGTCCACTAGGAGTGCTGTAATAGGCAAAAAAGTTTGTTCCATTACTAAGTGGGCCATGATTTAATGTCTACATCACTTTACTGAAATCCTCGATAAGCTGGAGGTCTTTTGAACATTTCCTTGCCAATCTACCTGTATGTTCGCACAGAAAACGGGGAACTCGGAACACTCGGACGAACTATAAAACTGCACGCGTGGACTACACAAAAACGACCGTATCGTGCGATGGTCAAAAGCCAAGTTTGAAGATTATTCAATCCTTTTTCCTAGCTTGCCCTAGAGAGTCTGTGTTCGGGTCAGACCGTAAAATTGCTCTCTTCTCTACATCGAACATTCTACCTAGCTACCTATTTGGTCGTTTAGTACTGAACATGATGCCCCCATTGAAATAGGATGATTTCAATCTATTCGTTCTTCATCGTTGTCGTCGTCGTCGTCGCCTGCGTGGAGCTCACCATCGGGGTGCACATTGTTGTCGTCGATCGGTAGTAAACACAGCTGGACAATCGGTCGTCGGATCACCTTGCTTCCAGTTTGCACGTTTGCTACTCGCACCAGTCCGCCTTGACCAGGGAATACGTCCTCGATTCTCCCAAGTTTCCATGGCATCGTCGGCAAATTGTCTTCTCGGATGATCACCATTTGGCCCGGCTTTACAGGTACGGTTCTGCAGCGTCGTTACATAGTCTTGCGACCAGTGAGTCCAAAAGTGGTGTACCATCTGGGTCTGCCGCTGCCAGCGCGACTGATTCGGCGATATCAGTCAGTGGACGTTCCAGCAAGAAGTGTCCAGGGGTGAGAGGACTGGCATGATCAGGATCTTCCGATAGTGCAGTGATAGGCCTTGAGTTTAGCAAGGCTTCGATGCGGGCAAGAACGGTTGTGTACTCGTCGAAGTTCATGTTGGCAGTTCCAGTAATGCGCTTCAGGTGGTATTTGGAAGAGCCCACGCCGGCCTCCAACAGTGCGCCGAAAAGCGGTGCGTGAGGTGGGATCAGGTGCCACTCGATAGTGTCTTACATTTCCCTCGACTTGTTTTTGCTGCCGAAGAAATTAAGGCCGTTATCGGAAAACAGTTTTGCACATTTACCTCTTCGGGAGACGAAGCGTTGTAGGGCCGCAATAAAGGCATCAGCAGTCAGATCACCCACTAGCTCCAAGTGAATCGCTCGTGTAGCGAAACATACATTAACTGCTACATACGCCTTGTAGGTGACGGTAGATCGCCTGTTGTGTTGGCAAATGTAGATCGATCTACAAAAGTCGACGCCCGCGTTAAGAAACGGGTAGACTTCTTCCAAACGTGATCTGGGTAGGTCACCCATCATTTGCTGCGTCACGGTCGGCTTCGCCCTGAAGCAAGTGACACAATTTCGGATGACGCTACGAACAGTATGGCGACGTCGCATCGTTACAAGAAGCATTTGTGGTGGAGCGTGTATGAGTTCAATGTGATACGATCGGGCCAAAGCTTGCGTGACAAGACGAATTCTTCCACCGACCCGTAGGACGGCAAAGTGAAATTGGTCTAGAAACACAGAAATCGTGATTAATTTGCTTTTACTATGAACTACCTTTCCAGATTTCAGACGGTTGATTTCATAGGAGAAGGCTTCTCGTTGACCGATGCTGGTGAGGCCCAACGTTGATTGTTGAAGTTCTTGGAAGGTCAATCCTCCGAATCGGTGCTCCTTTCGATTTTTCTTTCGAATGTGGTCGATGAATCGTAGTACCCATGCCATTGTTCGTTGCATTTTCCGGAACTTGCTCTCGATCTCGAACAGGATCTCGATTCCGGGAGTTGCTCTGCAGGTGTGGGTTGTGGTTGGATTGGCCAAGGTGAATTTATCTTGCGCAGGAATGGCGGTCCTGTCCACCATTGGTCACAGTGTCGCATCTCACTAGGTTGGAAGCCACGCGAAAGTACGTCTGCAAGGTTGTCGGGGAAACGCTCATTCTCGTCCTTGCACAATTGCTCCAATACCCGCGTCACCAGAAAGGGCGCACAAGCATTGCCATAGGTGACCGTTGCCAATTGGTACACCTGCAAGAAAGCATCTGGATGTGATTGCCAGAAAATTTGCTGGTACGTGAGATCAAGTAACCTGATGAGAATCTGCCTGAACATCTGCGTTATGTCAGCTGTGAATGCGATCTTCGGTATTCGGAACCTCAGCGCAATATTAGCTAGCTTTCTTCGGACCACGGCACCGACGTAGAGGAAATCGTTCAAGGAGGTTCCTGTTGTTGTGATGACCGACGCATCGAACACAACTCGTGTTTTGGTTGTTGTGCTTGCCGGATTGAACACCGCGTGGTGAGGCATGAAGTAAGCGCTATCAACTGCCTGATTGATCTAGATCATGTGTCCTTGCTCATAGTAGTCTTCCATGAATGCTCGTAAACGTTCGGGTTGTGAATCAACCTCCTGTCGACCTGTACAAATCAGCGCAATGCCATCTTCTCACTGTCGCCTAGCTCTCGGATGCTCTTCTTTAGCGGAATTCCAACTTCGTACCGTCCGTCTGAAAGTCTACGGCAAGTATCCTTGAAGCTTTGTTCAGCTGCTTGCTCTTCTTCGGTCATCTTACGTGGTTCGGGTATTGCCTCCGTTTCCCAGAACTTGCTGATCTGCTCACTCAACGCTTGGTTTGTTACAACTCCACAATGGTTCACGGAAGATTGCTCTGCTTGCTGTTCGGTTACTGCACCTCCAACTACCCATCAAAAAATGGTCTCCCAACAGCATATCGATTCGTCGCGATCGATTGAACGAATGATCAGCCATTACTACATCTGCTGGGATTCGCTCGCTACCTGAAATAATCGTATCGGCAAATCAGTTGTGACCTTTTTCATGACCAGGCACTCTAGATTGAAAAAGGCATCGGACATGAGAGCGGATCGTTGTTCTGACCTTGCTCTTGATTATTTGTGGTGTCCTAGAAACACCTACAATACAGACGTTTGCATTTGATCTCGGTAGCTTCAACCCATTCACAATATTTGAGGTGATCAAATTGTGCATTGACCCACAATCGAGCAAAATTCTGCAGTCGATCGAGTTTCCATGGGCGTCCAACTGCCGTGTAGCGAACGTATTGACTTGCTCGGAGGTTCGACAAAGAGACAGTCCCAACTAACGAATTGATCAACGAAGTAGACGGAACAGATGTTGATCGAGTTCCAGAGTTTGTGGTCAACGATGAAGAATCAGATTCGTGAAGCAGTGTGTGGTTCCAACGGCCACATTTCCGACATGAACTTCCTTTGCATTCATGCACGTGGTGCTTAATTCTGAAGCAATTCAAGCAGAGCCAACCAGCCGTCTAGGAATAATACCTGAGAGAACATCCGTTCCCTGAACATATGCAAACATATCCTTAATTTCTACGAAGTTCCATATTTTTGTTCCAAACTCACCTAATTCTACAATGATCTTAGAATGTCTATGAAATTCACTGAACGTCCAGGAAAACCTTCATCATTTTCTATGAATATCCACGCACATCTGGGAAGTTCCCTGATATTTAACGAAGTTCAAAAAACTTCCAGGAAGTTCATTGAGCTTTCTTGTAGTAAAATGATCTCTAACAAACTGCTCCGAAGTTCCCCAAACTGGAACGAAGACGCCTGAAGCATGCGCAGTTCCTAGAAATTCGCGTCAAGTGCTACGAAATTAGCTAAACTCCTTCAAAATTTTCTACATTTCTACGTTTCTCGTTGATTTTCCGCGACTTTTCCAGAGCTTGTATGTAATTCCCAGAACTATGGAAAGGCCATCAAATAACAACGAAGTGCCCTGAAATTAAAAGAAGGTCCTAGGACAGGATTCCTGAATGTAACAATGTTTCCTTATGTTCCTTCGACGGAATTCCCCAAATTTGAACAATATGAGAACTAATGTATCCTAAAGTCCTCTAAGTAAAAGTATGGACGACTGTCAAAAGTTGTTCCAATCGAACTGTCAAAATGCACTACATTGCTCGATTGGAACAACTTTTTTCAGATGTGTGGTGACAGTCATCCATACTTTTACTAGAGAGCTTTAGTTTATCGTGGTCAAAATCCGAGTCTCCAGCTAGTGTGCTTTCAGATACATTATTTAGTCTGGGCTGCTTGCCTGTTTGTCAGCAGCGGTTTCTATAATCTACTAAATTATACTTTAATAATGATACAACCATTCTCCATTGAACTACGCTTCCGTGTTTAACTCACGTACTAAAACCAAACACTTTCTCCTTCTCCCTTTTTTTTCGCAGGGCCAAGCCGCGCCTCTCGCCGATCGGCGGCCGGCGGACCTACACCGAGGACGAACTGCAGAGCGCACTGCAGGACATCCTGAATGGGAAGTTGGGCACCCGGCGGGCCGCGGTCCAGTACGGCATCCCACGGTCGACCCTCCGCAACAAGGTCTACAAGCTGGCGATGGAACACAAGCGCGAAATGCTGCACAACATGCCCCTGTCGGCGCTGGACGACGACGACGACGACGACAAGGACTCGCTCGAAGACGACGTCGGCAGCAGCAGCAAGCAGGACGCCTACCAAATGAAGTTCAAACAACAGCAGGCCATCGCCGAAGCGTATCTCCACCTGTACGGTGGCAGCAGTAGCACTGCGAAACACGAGCCTACCTCCGCTCCGTCGACGCCACCCCAGCAGCAGCCAACGCCGGAACCACCGATGTTGAAACCCATTCAGCAGCCGCAAACCCCTCAGCAAGCATCCGCACTGCAGACGGCAACGCCACAGTCATCTCCACTGGCAGCCGCTGCCAACAGTTTGATCGACACGAACATCTTGTATCAGCTGCAAAGCCTTCTGCTGGCGGGCTCCCTTCCGCGGCTAACGAACACAGCCGCACAAACCGGTAATCCGGATGAAGCGTCAGCTGCCCAAGCAGCTCTCGCAACGCTTCCCGAACTGCTAAAGAAGCTAATCCAGCAACAGGAATTGATCGCCGAGCAGATCAAAAAGGCCGCCAGCAGCAACGAACCGCAGCGACCCAATGCGAGCACTCCGACCCTGAACAACGGTCAGCCGATCGATCCACGGCTATTCCCGTACCTCCAACAGCATCAGCAAAGCAAGTCGCGAACGGCGTCCGGTACACCGGAGACAACCACCTCCTCCATGGACCTGAACGATGGCGGAAGTGACGATTCGCAGGTAATACTGAAAATTCCGTCCTACAAGCCAGTCCCCGGGCAGGCACCGCTACCGACCACTGCCGCACTGCTAGCAGCCAGTAAAAACGGTGACCATCACAACCTCTCCACTCCCTCGCCGCCGATCAACAGCGCACCCTCGGTACGCGATCTCAGCAGCTTGGTCGGCGGACCTGGTCCCAGCACCAACAGCTCCACCCCAAGACCAGTACACACAGCTAGTCCCCAGCAACCGACCTCTGCCCAACCACCAAACCACATGTCCGTGATAGCGCCACCTATGGGCGGCATCCGGCCCCGAAGTAATTCCCAATCGCCACCCAGCCTACTCGGCGGAAAGCTATCCATCAGTGACGTAATAGCCCGGAGTATCAGCAAAAACTTCCAACAACATCACCAGTCCGATCTGCTCAAACAGCAGATGGAATCGATGGAGCAGCAGTACAACAAACGGCCAACCATTTCGGTCATCAAGAATCTGGGCGGTACGGACATTTCCCGCTTCGGCACCAATCCCAACATCAGCCAGTTGACTGCCCAGCAGCTGGCCAACACCGGCACCGGTGGCAAAGGAACGAGACCAAAGCGCGGCAAGTATAGGAACTACGACCGGGACAGCCTGGTGGAAGCAGTCAAGGCGGTGCAGCGAGGCGAAATGTCGGTGCATCGGGCGGGCAGCTATTACGGCGTTCCACATTCCACTCTGGAGTACAAGGTTAAGGAACGGCATTTGATGAGGCCACGGAAGCGAGAACCAAAACCACAACCCGGCTTGGATGGGTTGAAGACCGAATTGGGCGGCACCAGTAGCATGAGGAGCATGGATAAAAGCAAGAACATGGGAATGGGGTCAAGTGCAAAGACGCAGCAGATGAAGAACCAGTATCCGGGAGCGTCCCCGAACGGTGGATTGAAGATGCCGATGTTCGATCCGGCGATGACTCCGCAGCTACCTTATGCATCACCATTCCTGTGGCCACATCCAGCGGCTGGATTCTCCGGGCTACCGATGGATTTCGGTCGGCAACCGGGTGCGGTGGGAGGAGCCGGTGGATCTAGTGGCGGTTCGGGTGAAAACATTTTCGCATCGCCGATCATGCAGAGGTTTCAGCAGGAACAGCAGCAGCAGGCAAGCAAATTGTCCGGTGCGGTGAGTAATAATAGTGGCGGCAGCGGAGGAGGACCGAAAACGGCTCGCGAGCTTGCCGAAAGTATATACGACGGCACGAGTACGAACGGGTCGTTGTTGGATGATATCATTCGGCACAGTTTGGACAAGAAACCGGGTGAGATGCATCACGGGGCGCTGTTCGATCAGTTGATGAAGAACAACAGCCTCCGGTCGTCGTCGGGACAGTCCTCGGGGTCGGAAGATCCCTCAGCAGCCCTTCTTGCCAAGGTCGGCGCCAAGCGCAGTGCCACCAGTCCGCTCAACTTCCTACCGGAGATCATCAAACGGGAACGGGCCAGTCCCAGTGCGTCGTCCACCTCGTCGACCGGTAGCAAACTCGGTTCCGTCAGCTTCAACGACCATCACCTCCAGCAGCATCAGCAGCAGCAGCAGCAGCACCATCAGCAACAACAGCGACATCTCAATACCTCCAGCGATTTCGAGAGCCATCGAGCGGAACTGCTAGCCAAGGGTAACCTGGCAGTCGAGAACCTCATCAAGCTACGTGAGGACCTCACATCGATGTCCGCGGCGCATTCCCAAATCCGGACGTCGATGGAAGATCAACACAACGGCGGTAAGGACGAACTATCACCATCCGTTAGCGAGCAGCAGCAGCACCATCACCACCTTCTCTCGCAACGGCTCGTTACCAAGCTGCCAACCGATGACGGCAGCTCATCATAGAAGTGACTGCCACCAGAGGCGCTGCTGCTGTGGCGCTCCCACACATTTCTAGGTTAGAAAATCTAAAAAAAAAAAAAAAACAGCAGAGATGTAGTTCAAATATTATTATTGTAGTTAAAGTGAATAAGTGGTAACAAAGGTATAGTCGAGAAGGAGATGATTGCAATTTATTGGGCAAGTGTTAACACAGTTTTTATCCACTCACTCACGCACGCACTCGAAAGCGAGGGCGCCCGTGTGTGTGTGTGCGCGAACGCAAAAACGAAAGAGAGCATAGCCAACTCTTTCAAAACTGAGCGGCAACAAAGCAACCCAGAAAACGGAGAATCAAAATAGCGAAATCAAGAGATGATGATGATGAAGATGATAATGATTTAGTGAAGAAGGAAAATCGCGAAAACTAGCAAAAATGAGAATTTTTAAAGATTAAGAAGAAGAAGAAAAAGAAGAAGACGCAAGTTTTTTGACAATCGACAAATAGGCTCTTGTAAAATTCCTCCCTTTCACCAATACACAGAATGCAGAATGCAAAAACAAAAACGACAGAAAATCGCATCTTTCGGACTGCTCCATCCCTCCCTCCCTGAACAACAGCTAAACAGAAGCAACAACACTTGAAAATAGTAGTAGAAGAAGAAGAAGAAGATGAAACAGACATACAGTACAGTGTCGAATACAGGAAGTCTGATTTTTATAATACGAAACGCGGACGGAAGCGTGTGATGATGATTATTTTTGAGACCAGGAAAGCACGGAAGATTTTTTATCATTTTACACATAGGCAACATCTGAAGCAGATACGATAGGTAACGGTTAAACATCAAGGTTTAAATTTCGGCCCGGCCGATTAACCTTAACATTTTAGGCCAATAATACCCGTTTCCCATTTTTTTTTTTTGTTTTATGTTGATGAAAAACGAAGGCTGTCAAAGAAGGTAGAAGAGTGAGGGTTTGGAACAACAAACGATTGCGTGTCCCCAACAGATCGAGCTCCACGCCGCGGCGGTTGACACAATTGATTTTTGATTTGCCAATCAACAAATTGAAGCGCATTGGGTGCCATCAGGGCTAAATTACTTCCATCATCGTACGCACACAAGCACCAGCACAACAGTGCAATAAAAATTATTCCCCTGACGGGCGGTCAGCGAAAAAAAAACACGAAGCGAACATTTAAAAAAAATGGATTAATTAATCTGCATTTGTCATATCAGAGCCCGGCTATCAAATGGAGCTAACGGGAGCTGCTGACTGCTCCTTTGAACCGATTGACGACGACGACGACGGGGCGACAAAGGGCAGTCTGGGAGCAGAGATTGTCATAGGGTCGATTTTTTCCTGTGTAGGTAGGCGTTGGTTTTTTTTTTACAGCGGTTGCTTTGATGCGTCAACCGCACCGAATCAAGGTGGGTTCGATTGGAGAGATTTTTTTCGGAAAAATAAATTAATTAGAGTTTATTTAAAACTGAACTGGGAAATTCAGAAAATTGTAAATCAAGGCTGCTCATACGTGGGCTTCTTGGTTGGACGCATTTGAATTTTGCTTAGGCTAATTAGAAGCCCTTAATCTAAATCTTACTTCCACAAATAGATTGGCATTTCATGATAATTTACAAATTGCAATGCCAATTTTTCAATTAATGGGTTATTTGGACAATTTCAAAAGTAGCTTTGGCATTTTCGGGGCTTCTATCATTTAATTTCAGGACTATTTTGGTGTAGTCTTGTCATCTTGGAGTTTTTCTAGGCCATTGTTCCTTGACTGAGCAATTGTTGGCGTTTCAAGATTATATGGCCATCTTGAAAATAGGCTTGATAATGCAGATTTCAAAAGTGCAAACGGTGAGGTATGGGATTGAAATTTTTGCTCTCAATTAAAGCCTTCATTATTTGCCTTTGCTTTTTGCACTTGTACTGCCCCTCGGTAGAGTCAAATCCAAACAAAGCAATGAGCCAAGATCCTTGGAGCCGTTCCAGTTGACTACCGATAGTGGATCAAGGAGGCATACAACACCGGTTTGGATGATATTGACACCATAAATGCCTTCGACGTACTCCGGTACCGGTACAACGAAGTGAGCCAAAGGTTCTTGCCAGACAATGGGAACCCAAACCTACTGGCAAGGACCGAGCTGTCAAGTAGGAGTACACCCGAGACTGGTACCAGGTGCTGTTGCCGAAACCTGTCGTCACGAAATGCTAAATGTTATTCAATGACGATGTTAACCGGTTGACCCGGAGAAGGATCGAAACCTTGCCAAGATTAACAACAATATAACCTATAAAGGGTGTCATACATCAAATTGCATCACGGAAAAAACGCTGTAGAAAATTACCTAGTTGACCAACATCTGGCTGCAGCTTCTTTTGTTCGGAAACCCACTTTTTCTTCATGTCTCAGATTTGACCTCCTTGGGATGCTTCCGTAGTGCCTGCTTCATAATAGCCCAGTATTTTTCGATGGGCCTTACTTCCGGTGCGTTGGGGGGGGGGTTCATGTCCTTGGGTACGAAAGTGACTCCAGTAAAACATTTGAATAGTGGCACGAAGCTAGATCCGACCAGAAGATCGTAGGGCCCTCGTGTTGCTTCAACAGAGGAAGCAGACGCTTCTGTAGACACTCCTTGAGGTAGATCTCCTCGTTTACAGTCCCGGTAGTCACATGAGCAGATCGCTTGCCAAATCATGTATTTCTTGGCAAACTTTGAAAGTATCTGCTTCCTTACTTCCTCCGGAACATCAAACTTGTGCTGGGCGGTGAAGAACACTAGCCCCGGAAGCTGCCGGAAGTCCGCCTTGATGTAAGCCGCATCATCCATGATGAGACAATGAGGCTTCGTCAGCATCTGGGTGTACAGTTTCCGGGCCCGTATTTTGCCGTTCGTCACGATTTGGAGCCTTCTGCACTTTGTACGTATGCAGTCCCTCCCGGTCCTTGGCTCTCGGAACGAAAGACTTGGACAGATTCAACTTTTTGGCCACATCCCTGACCGAAGCATTGGGATTCCGCTTAAACGCTTTCACGACACGCTTGTGATCCTGATCACTAATAGAACATCCATTCTGACCGCATTTCTCCTTCCGTTCGATGCAAAATCAAATCACGACTTTGCTTTTCGGATGACGCCATTTTTTTCAACATTCGAAAAACTGACAGCGATAAAAATGCAGTGTAAACAATAGACTCTAAACTACTTCTACCCAAATTTTCAAGAGAACATACCCAATGGGTAATGTGGAACACCCTTTATGTACGAATGTACGTTTTGAAGAGGCCAAGGAAGAGGCGCTTTTGGGCACTGGGTGACATCTGTTGTTAGTACCGTCGAGTGAGGATCCCATGGCAGCAAACATACTCTTGCGTACACCGCTTCCGGAATGCCTGATTGGAGATTGGAAGAAACGCTACACGAGAATCGTGTTGGCCACCAATCCATGCCGGCTGCAATACTGCACCCAAAGTAGTTTGCCGGGCTGGAGGATTATTTCTCACGCACTCTCATCAGCCAAGGAACACTAGTAGCGCTCCATGAGATGGCTTTTCCCGTCCACTGGAGCTACGATGCGACCATGTTTCTGTATCCACTGCCATCGGTCCAAGAGTTCAAAAACAGTGATCTTCAAAAAATACCGTTCTGAATGGTCTGAAACACGAGATGATCATATAGCTGAAATAAGTAGGAGTAGGTAATCGTTTATCTGTGATTCGACAGAGGGTTAAAAAGTCAATAGACGTATTATATTAAAGATTCCAAATTTTTAAAAATATTTGATGAAAGTAGTTCAATTCATTGGAAAAATATAAGCGTCTTAACACTTCTTTCGCACACTAATGCACCATTTAAATTGAAGGGCCGCGACCAAGAGGGGAACAGATTAGTGGGAAAACAAATCACCCATTCAGAGGAAACATGTCAGAAGGGTATAACTCGAAATGTAAACAATGACTTTGAGCGTCAATTTCTCTTGAATGACCACACACCCACAGGAATTTGACTACACCATCTCATAAAACAAACATTGTTCTGACAGATGATTTAGTTAGTTTGAGTGGGTCTGTTGTCATTCATAAGAAACCGACGATCCAAGTCATTGTTTACGTTTCGAGTTAGACCCTTCTGACATGTTTCCCCTGCATTCATCCCTGTGAGCTAGATAGAGAAAGGCGATTAAACGTCAAAAAGGTCTACCACCTTACAGTGACAAATTTTGGAATCGACCTCACTAAGCCTTTTTTTTCAAGATGTTCGCTTTTGGAGGCCTATTGGCATTGACGGTGACTCTGTAGCTCTTTACTTCTATGGCAAAATCCATAGGTAAACGTCAGACTGTTCGTGAAAAATGACGGACTACGTACTATCCTTTCACTCCGTCGAAAAATTCCCACAAGAAACTGTCAATCTTTGCTAGAAGAGACGATTATTCGACGGTGCCGTCAAAGCCAATAAGAGTTGACACGCCGTTTGAACGATTCCAAGGCCATTTTGGCGTTGTGCAATCGGTGAAGAGTATAAGAGCCAACTATGCCTTCTCTTTCTAAGAAAACGAGGTGCAACGGAATCATGTTTGCGTCGATTCAACTGTCAGCTTCAACTTTACACGTTGTGAATAGTCTCGCTATATCAAACTTACTTAACGTGAAAGACTTCCATCCTGGGCGGCTGCTCGCTTTTTTCTTGACCCAGGCCCAGGTCAGATTCCTCTCGACTTGCTTTATTTCCTTGTTGAGGCTCCGCCGCCATGAGCTCCTGGGTTTGCCTGTGCTGCGATGTCCTGCCGGATTCCAATTCAGCGCTTGCTTGAAGATTTCGTTTCCGTCCCGTCGAATTTCTGTTGCCATCGGCTTTTGATGACATCGACCATGGAGCTCGGCACTCGAGATCCAGTTGAGAGGCCACCAGGCACGAATTATATACCGCAGGCATCGGTTGATGAAGACCTGCAGCTTCTGTACGTTCTCCGCTGACACCCAGATTTCACGTTCGAGTTGAAAGTTCGGATTTTGGTGCGTTGACTTATCTGGTTTGATCTCCATACGTTTTATGAACTCGCAAAGCGCCGTCCGACGCTATTTGACTGCCAAGATATTGGAAACTTTCGACCTTCTCCACTGCTTGCCGTAAAGTTGGAAGGGTTGCCCGTGTTGACATCCAACGATTTGGTGCAAATCGAAGTCGTTGAGATGCTCCATGGTGATAGGATTGTTTCAATTGACGCAATGAATGATTCGAAAACTGCTTCCTTCGTTTTTTTCCACTTTCACTTCAATGCGGGCTCATTTGACTTGTCACGCATCGCGTCGTCGAGCATGCAAATATAGTATCCGCACAATATCGGTTGCCGATAGGGATGGCATCCGGATTATATGTATTATGGAGTCCAAAATGGCGGCCATCGGGGTCGAAAAGTCTCAAATACCCTACAAAATACTAATTCAAAATGGGTATTTTCGGAACGGCTACGACGCGAAGGTGCCGAAAATCGATATCCAACGCCATTTTGGAATTAAAAATAGTAACAATTGGTTTTCGGAAGTGTCAAATACCCTAAAATATGGGTATTTTAGGAACGGGAAAAACGCGTAGATGTCAAAAATCGATATCCGACGTTATTTTGGACTCCAATATGGCGGCCAACAGGATTCAGAAAGTGTTAAATACCCTAAGATATGGGTATTTTAGGAACGGGGACAACGCGTGGATGCCGAAAGTCGATAACCGACGCTATGTTGGACGCCAATATATCAAATACCATACAATATGGTTAAGCTCGGAACGGGGACAACGTGTAGATGCCGAAAATCGGTATCAAATACCACTTTGGAATCCAAAATAGCGGCCATCAGGGTTTAGAAAGCGTCAAATACCGTACAATATGGGTATTTTCGGAACGGGGACAACGTGTAGATGCCCTAAATCGATATCCGATGCCATTTTGGAATCAAAATATGGCGGCGCCATCAGATTTAATCAAAAGTGTCAACGCGTAGATGTTGAAAATCGATATTCGATACCATTTGCAGGCCATTTGACACTTCTTCTGAAATCGGAAGCCACCATGTTGAATTACAAAATGGCGTCGAACATCGATTTCTGGCTTCTAGATGACACCTCGATTCCAAAAACCCCCACATTGATCGGTATTTGACAGTATTTCACAGTTTCTCTGACCCAAAGCCGCCATCTTGGATTTAAAGACGCTGTGACATCAATTTTCGGCATCTACGTCTCTTCGCCATTCTGAAAATAACAATATTTTAAGGTATTTGACACTTTTCCGCAAATCGGAAGTCGCCGCCTTGGATTTCAAAATGACGTCGGATATCGATTTCCGGCCTCCAGACGCCATTCCGAATCCAAAAGTACCTATATTGATTTGATTGAATATTTCCCATTTGTTCTGAAATCGGACGCCGCCATCTTGGATTTCTAAATGACGTCGCATGTCAATTTTCGATCTGTAGACTTCATAATGATTACAAAAAATGTTAAGTCGGAATCCGCCATCTTCGATTTCGAAGTTGGCGTCGGATATCGATTTTCATCCTCTAGACATCATCCCGATTCCAAAAATACCTTAATTGATAGGTATTTGACAGTATTTCCCACTTTTTATTAAACTGGAAGCCGCCGTCTTGGATTTAAAAATGGTGTCGCATATCAATATTTTCGATCTGTAGACGTCATCCACGTGCACAGATGTATGCGCATACGCATACGCATACGAGTGAACAATCAACAATAGGAGGTTGTATCCAAGACACATCCGTAGATTAGACGAAGGATTACGTGCTCGGTATCAATAGTCGGCGACTGTGTTAGGGAAATCACTTTTTTCCTTCACGAAAACGCTTCCATTTCTGATGAAAAAAGGCATAAATTGATTGGAGATATTCACAATCAATTAATAAAAATTCGAGATTTTCTTGCTTTTCCTAGCGTCCTGCAGAAAACATTACCTTAATTCGAAGAGTTTCTGGTTGATTGACAAGGTCATGTGGTATTCGGTCATTGCTAGTATTTGTATGTACCACTTCAATACTGTTACGCATTTGACCGCAAACGTTTCGTTTGCTGGGGTGATGTAAAATTAACTCTTAAACGACAATAATTTATGGTGGTCCTGAAAAGAACCGTTTTGTCGTGATGGTTGAGTAATGCTGAGCTGTTAGGGTGATCAATACGGATGAGGCTGGCAAGCTGTACGTTGTTTGTAACGAGGGTGACGCGCTTGGAGTAGATTGCCTAGAGCGGCTCATCAAGAGTTACTGAATCCGATCAGTAGCGGTGCGGCGGCTTCTTCCTCCCTCTTCGGTGAATGGATGCTCATATGGGCGACAGCTCGCTGAGTGCGGGCAGCCTTTCGTTGTGTGCTGGAGAACAATGTTCAACGCCACGCACGGATAAGCACCGTTCGGCGAGACCGAATGGAATTCGAGTTTGAAATCTGTGTTAGGGAAAGTGCTTTTTGCAGGCAATCGGTGATAATTTTAATCACCATTATAACAGTTGGACATTTGTGTAATTTTCAATAGTGGTCTATTGAAAATTGATAAAATGTTCATTTCAGCAGATTTGTAGAAATTTTTTCAACCGATTGGTTTGTTTAGAATTAAAATCCATCCGCTATTAACGGAGTTATAAGTGGTCACAACCTGATTTTGGTTTTTTGAAATTGCACCCCCAATATGTTGCCGAAAGAGGTCAAAAGTCATGAAAACTGCGCGAATTTGGATCGAACAGCTTCACTTTAATGCAAAAGTAAGTTCATTTGACAATGAAAGAAGAAATGAACACGAGTCTAATCTCATCTAACACCAATACAGCCAGTTCTTGAAAGCATCCTGGAAAATGATGTATATACCTACCTCATTTTTCTTGTCTATTTGATATATGTTTCACATCGAAGATGCGTCACACATATCAAAACGGCCAGGCCTACTGTGCAGCATTTAAGGGGCCAGATGATTCAGAATGCATCGGGATTTAAACACGATGTTTCAGAATCCAATAAATGGATGAAACGTGGACATCTCGTACCGTACGTTCCGATTTTGGTAATTATATGATTGGTTGATCGTTGGAAGCATCAAAGCTAGAAAGGTGATGCTCCATTTTTCTCTGACGGTTAGGGCATGAGCACTAACTCTTGTCCTAGCCTTTTATGACTTATGGCTATAGCGCCATTACTCGCTTTCTGAAAACAGAAGAAGAGGAAAAGGAGTCACTATTATCAAGTCATAAAAAGTAACAAGGACTAAAATGTGATTCTTTGATTACTGGAAAATCCTGATTCCCTAGTTTGAAGTTGTCACAACTAAGGTTCGGTGGTAGATCTTATACCAGTAACGCACCACAAAAAGTTGATCTCCCAACGTTACTGGTTTGAAAAGATAAAAATTTACAAAATGGACCGAACTCACCAAGTTTAGCCAATTGAACCTGAAGGCTGCCTGACATGTGTTGATGCAGAAGTCCAAATTGTAGACGAAGCTTGACGATGTTCCACATGAACTATTCCGGTCTATGGTAGTTGCGCGGAATGTCTTCCGTCGATTTGAGATTAACAAATGTTCGGATGTGTGTAGTCGATTTTCGATGTGCATTGGCAAGCCTTTTCGTGGCCAATAGTCACATTCACGGGTACCTCCGTTTTGCCCGCGAATCGGTTCCAGAGGATTCCCTCCTCGACACTTCATTTTTCGGAATGGGTTTTCCCTCTAGGACACATTTCTAAAGATTTTTTCCTGATTTTTTCCTTGACGGGGATCTGCTCGAAGAGAATACAGAACGAGTTTCAATTGAAAGTGATGGTTTACAGCTTCATCGTCACTTGATGGTTTTTAGATTGAAAGTGACTTTTTGGAGCCCCGGCTTCCGATCGACAGTTGAACGTTCTCCGAAATGTTTTATGACACGAGAAACAGTAGATTGTTGGATTCCCGATGGTTCGGTGCGAAAGATTTGGGTTTTTGAGGCGAGTTCCTTCGACTCCGCTTTCAAAAATACTAGAAATTTTACAATGAAACTCACGCAGTGTAAACAATACACGCTCAGGGCATCTCACCGAAAATGTCCGTGGCAGCATTAAAAATCTCCACCGAAATCTCTCGGAACCCTCTCCACCGTGAATATCTGAAAACTCCGTCGAAACTCCCCTCGGAAATACAGAAGCTGCCAACGGCAAAGTATCCAGGTTCTGCGCGATACCAGTGAAGAGATTGGATGCTGCAGACGGAAGCTCCAGGCATTTTCTCACGTTTTCAATGGACGAAGTTCCGCGAGATTTCGGTGATGCCAGCGAAAGTTCCTGAAAGTTACAACGGATTTTTTTTGCCTTCTCGGTGAATTAAATTCTGCTTGATTTCGAAGACGATTCTAGCAGCTGCCAACGAAGGTTCTAGGAACTTTGTTCTTGTTCTTAGCGCTCAGCGGAAGAAGTTCTGCACAATTTTGGTGGAGACTTTAGATAATGGGATTCCGGGATATTATCAAGAGAAAACGCGATAATTAGTCGAATCGAAAACGCGTTTGTAATATTTATTCCTCTGTTTTACAAGGTTAGGATTGGAATGATAAAAGGTTGACATAAGCGCTACCACCCGCGGGTTAGAGATACGCAGGGTAGCACTGAGGGTTATTGCAATGTACACACTGATAGTAAATTGTTCTTCTTTACCCCTGCTCAATTTCTGGTCGGTGTGAGATTGAGTTTCTCCCGTAGACGATGAAACTGTCCAGCTGACAACGCCTTCGTCATTATATCAGCTGCTTGTAACTCCGTCGGAACGTACTTCACACAAATACGCCCCTGCTGAACCAGGTCTCTAACGTATTGCAGCTTCACATCGACGTGCTTCAGTCGACCACGATCCTTTGGCTCTTCCACCACCCTAATGGTAGATTGATTGTCCTCAAAGTACTGCACAGGACTTGTTGACTGGTAACCCACTTCTTCTAGTAACCGAACCAACCAAACTCCTTCGCAAACCGCTGTACAGAGAGCCACCAGCTCCGCTTCGGTTGATGACAACGATACCGTTTGTTGCTTCCTTGTCAGCCAAGTCGTTGTACACCCAAAAATCTTGAAAACGTATCCTTTTACTGAGCGTCTATCGACCACGTCGTTCGCCCAATCCGCATCACAAAACGCCGTAATAATCTCCGCCTTGTCGTTGCCTTCATATACTAATCCCACGTCTAAGGTCCCCTTGATATATCGTAGTACTCGTTTAAGATATTTCCAGTGTTCCTCGGTGGGACAGGTCTGGAATTGACTGTAGTAGTTGACCGCCGCAAAAAGATCCGGGCGAGTCGTTAAGGTCACGTACATCAGACATCCCACTAGCTCTCTATAAGGGTTTGTGGTTCGCTCTGACTCCTTTCCTTTGTCCAACCGTAGACGACACTC